CAACAATGTTTATTAGTGACTATTGGCCAGGCTGCTGTTCCAAGACCCACTTCATTGCCAATGGACTAAAATGATAAAGTCCCTGCTTTCGTGGTGCGAGCAGTATAGAGTTTAAGTGTAAGCTCCATGGGGGCAGGCTTTTTTATCTGGCATGCACTGCTGATGATGCCCATAAATACTGGTGAGCTACCAATAAAATAACAAAGCTGAGGAGGGATCAGGTGGTAGCCAGGGGAGGCAAGGCCTCTGAGATGGTTGAGCAGGGCCTGCTAGAAGCCAAGCACTGTGCAACCCTCTCAACATGGATTATCTCCTTCAGCTCTCACAGCAACACCTTGAGGTACGTGTGATTTTATGGCCGTGGCACAGATGAAGAAACTGAAGCATAGAGGTGACTTGTACCTCATCACTGCAAAGCCAGGATTTGGCCCAGGCACTCTCCCTGGAACCAAGCCACAGCTCTGTGACAGCCACAAAGGAAGGCCCACCTGCTGTCTGGGAGTCAGGCCTTCAGGGGCAAGCAAGAGTAGTAGAAGATGCCAGATGTGGCCTTTCTCCTTAGACCCGGGCCACTCAGACACTTTGGATCTGGCATTGATTTGATTTGATTCAGAAAATGCAAAGATGCTGGCTGATAAGTAGACCTGGGACCATCCTCTCAGGAGAGACCTCTGTCATTCTAAAGCTGCTTATCAGAGGTTATGCCCCAGTTCAGCCATCTGTGCCTTGCCTGCTGGCTTTGCGCTGGGGACCTGGCCCTTCCCTGGGCCAAAACCCAAAACCAAACGCACTGCCATTGAATCAATTCTGATGCATAATGACCCTCAGGATTTTCAAGGCTGTAAGTCTTTACAGAAGCAGACTACCTCATTTTTCTCCCATGGAGCAGTTGGTAGGTTCCAACCACCAACCTTTTGGTTGGCAGCCCAGCATCTTAACCACAGCACCAACAGGCAGTCAGAGAGAAAACAGCCTGTGCAGGAGCTTGGCCAGAGGTAGAGCTGGCAGGGGCTGGGTGCCTGGGAGGGCTGTGCTGTATTTAGCCCTTCCCCCTTGCCGTGCAGTGCAGGACCCGATGGTAGTGAAGGTGACTGGGGGAGCAGGGGCCTCCTTGCTGCAGACCCTCTTTTCCCATGATACACACGTTTTACCAAACAACAGACCCAAACAAATGATATTCCCGCTTACAGTGATGCTATAGGACAGCTAGAACTGCCCCATAGGGTTTCTAGGGCTATAAATCTTTACTGAAGCAGACTGCCACATCTTTCTCTCCTGCAGCAGCTGGTGGCTTCAAACCGCTGACCAGCCTTAACCACCAGAGCTCCATAAACAAGGAATTATTGCACCCTAACTTTTTAAAAATATCTGATTGTTTTATAAGTAGATCAAAGGTGATATTTTATTTAACAATAAATTAAGTAAAATCTTTTTTCTAACTCTCCAGTTGCCTCCTCCCTCAGTCCCTGGTAGCCTCTAATCTTTTTTGTCTCTGCACTTGCTGATTCTAGATACTGCCTGTGAGCAGAATCATGCGATATTTGTTTTGAATCTGACGTATTTCACTGCGAATAATGTGTTGGGGTTTTGTTTAATTTTATTACAGTAAAATATATGTACCTTACATAAAAATAATATGTGGATAATATTCACATGCCTGCAAGGAAAACTAGTTAATACTACTGTTATTCAAATTTACGCACCAACCACTAAAGCCAGTGATGAAGAAATTGAAGATTTTTGCAAACTTCTGCTGTCTGAAATTTACCAAACATGCAATCAAGATGTATTGATAATTACTGAAGATTAGAATGAGAAAGTTGGAAACTAAGAAGAATCATTGAGAGATGGAAAATATGGCCTTGGTGAAAGAAATGAGATCACATGATAGAATTTTGCAAGACCGATGACTTATTCATTGCAAATAACCTTTTCTCAACAACATAAATGGTGACTATATGAGTGAACTTTGCTGGGTGGAACATACAGGAATCAAATTAACTATATCTGTGGAAAGAGGTGATGGAGAAGCTCAATATCATCAGTCAGAACAAGGCCAGGAACTGACTGGAACAGACCATCAATTGCTCATATGCAAGTTCAAGTTGAAGCTGAAGAAAATTAAAACAAATCCATGAGAGCCGAACTATGGCCTTGATTATATCCTACCTGAATTTATATACCATCTGAAGAATAGGTTTGATGCATTGAACACCAATGACTTAAGCCCACACAAGGTGTGGGATGACATCAAAACATTATACATGAAGAAAGCAAAAGTTCATTAAAAAGACAGGAAAGGAAGAAAAGACCTGGAAACTTACTCCCGAACAAAGAATAGCTAAAGCAAAAGGAAGAAATGATGAAATAAAAAAAATTGAACAAACGATTTCAAACAGTGCCTCAAGAAGACAAAGTCAAGTGCTATAATGCGACGTACAAAGACCTGGAGTTAGAAAACCAAAAAGGAAGAACATGCTCGGCATTTCTCAAGCCAAAAGAACTAAAGAAAAAATTCAACCCTCAAGTTGCAATATTGAAGGATTCTATGGGGAAAATTTTGAGCAATGCAGGAAGCATTTAAAAAAAAGATGTAAGGAATACACATAGTCACTGTACCAAAAAGAATTGGTCAACATTCAGCCATTTCAGGGGGTAGCATATGAGCAAGAACCAATGGTATTGAAGGAAGAAGTCCAAGCTGCACTGAAGGAATAGGTGAAAAATAAAAGACTCCAGGAATTGATGGAATATACACTGAGATGTTTCAACAAATTGACACAGCACTGGAGACACTTACTCATTTATGCCAAGAAATCTGGAAGACAGCTACTGGCCAACTGACTGGAAAAGATCCATGTTTGTGCCCATTTTCAAAGAAAGGTGATCCAGCAGAAGTCAGAAATTATCCAACAATATCATTAATATCACACATAAGTAACATTTTGCTGAAGATAATTTAAAAATGGTTGTCTTAGTATATTGACAGGGAATTACCAGATATCCAAGCCAGATTCAGAAGAGGACATGGAACAAGAGATATCATTACTGATGTCAGATGGATCTTGGCTGAAAGCAAAGAATACCAGAAAGATGTTTACCAGTTTCATTGACCATGCAAAGGCATTCAACTGTGGTGGATCGTAACCAGTTATGCATAACATCATGAAGAATGGGAATTCCAGAACACTTAATTATGCTTATAAGGAACCTGTACATAGATCAAGAGGTAGTTATTCAAATACAACAAGGGGATACTGCATGGTTTAAGATCAGGAAAAGTGTGTGTCAGAGTTGTATCCTTTCACCATACTTATTAAATCTGTATGCTAAGCAAATAATCCAGGAAACTGGACTATGTGAAGAAGAATGTGGCATCAGGATTAGAGGAAGACTCATTAGCAACCTGTGATACGCAGATGACACAGGCTTGCTTGCTGAAAGTGAAAAAGACTTGAAGCACTTACTGATGAAAATCAAAGACTGTAGTCTTCAGTGTGGATTATACCTCAACATAAAGAAAACAAAAATTCTCGCAGCTGGACCAATAACCATCATCATGATAAATGGGGAAAAGATTGAAATCATCAGGGATTTTGTTTTACTTGGATCCACAAGCAGCACTCATGGAAGCAGCAGTCAGGAAATCCGATTCGTACTGCACTGGACACGTGTGCTGCAAAAGACTGCTTTAAAGTGCTGAAGAGCAAAGATGTCTCTTTGAAGACTAAGATGCACCTAACCCAAGCCATGGTGTTTTCAGTCCCCGTATATGCATGTGAAAGCTAAACAATTAGTAAGGAAGAACAAAGAAGAATTGATGCTTTTGAATTGTGGTGGTAGTGAAAAATACTGAAAATATCATAGACTGCTAACCTGAAGGCTGGTGGTTCAAACCCACCAGCCACTTCTCAGAAGGAAGATTGGGAAATCTACTTCTGTAGAGATATCACCTTGGAAACCCAAGGAGGGGTAATTATGAATCAGGATCGACTCAATGGCAGTGAGTTGAGCCAGAAGAACTAATAAATCAGTCCTGGAAGAAGTGCAGCCAGAGTGCTCCTTGGAAGCGAGAATGCCCAGACTTCATCTCATCTACTTTTGTCATGTTGTCAGAAGAGACCACCCTAGAGAAGGATGTCATGCTTGGTAAAGCTGAGGGTCACCACAAAAGTGAAAGACCCTCAACAAGATGAACTGGCACAGTGGCTGGCCAGTGGGTTCAAGCAAAGCAATGACTATGAGGACAGTGTACAACCAGACAGGGTCACTGTGAGGTAGAGATGACTTGATAGCATCCAACAACAACAAAACACGTGATATTTGCCATTTCAGCCATTCTTAAGTGTACAATTCAGTAGCATTAATTACATTCACCACACTGTGCAGCCATCACCACTAACCATCTGCAAGTTTTTCATCACCCCAAACCAGGGATTCTGTCTACACTAAACTGCCCATCCACCCCCCACCCTGTGCGACCTCTATTCTACTTCCCATCGCTATGCATTTGCCTAGTCTAGATATTTCATATAAGTGGGACCATATTTGTCCTGTGTCCAGCTTCTTTGACTTACATCCCAACTTTTGCCAGACGCCTTGTTAAGTAGTTCCCTTGCCTTAAGTAATTGCATCTTTACAACACTTGTTTGAGGCAGGTGGTAGAACCCCCATTTTACATGTGAGGCAGTTGAGACTTGAGGAGGTAAAACAGCTTATCCAAGGCATTCATTCATTCATTTACCATTCACCCATTCGTGGAGAAAATTCGTGAGCAGCTCCTAGTGGCTGTCTGTGTTCTGGTCTCCCAGCTCTTTGCGGCAGAGCTGTGATTTCAACCCAGGGCTTTCTCACTCCAGAACTGGAGCTCCTAACCACAGGTCGGGGCAGAGGCTCTCTCTTCTTTTTCTGGGCTGGGACTCGAGCCTTCTGGTACTTCTGGGCCATGAATAGGCCTCTGCCTCTCATCATAATACCACGATGCTCTCATCCCACCACAGGAGAGTGAGGACGCTGTCAAAGCCCTGGCCAAGGAGAAGGACTTGCTGGAACGGGAGAAGTGGGAGCTGCGGCGCCAAGCCAAAGAGGCCACGGACCATGCCACGGCACTGCGCTCCCAGCTGGACCTGAAGGACAACCGGATGAAGGAGCTGGAGGCTGAGCTGGCCATGGTGAGACACCCCTCCCCACCTCAGGGCAGTCTCGGTGTCTGGTAGAAGTGGCCCACCCTCCCTTTGGGAGACATGTCCTGTTAACATTCCCCCGCAGTCCCAGAGTGGAGTGGGGCAGAGCTGGTATGAGGGGGGTAAGGGGCAAGGGCCAGGGGCAGGTTTGTGACCCCATCCACCACCACCCCCAATACAGGTCCCATCTACTCCCAGAGCAGAATGCTGTTCATGCTTCTGCCTAGACCTGAGGAAGCCGGGGGGGGGCGGGGTGTCACTCAGAGACCATTCTTGCATCTACACTCCCTGCTGTACTGTTACAAACAGAAAAATGGCCTGTTTTGTTTAAAAAGCACATATTTGTTTAGGAAAACGTTTGGGAGGAAATACACCAAAATGTTTGTTATTGTTGGTTGCTGTGGAGTCGTTCCAGTTCACGGCAGCCCCGTGGGCCTAGTAGGCCATAGGGTTTTCAAGGCCATGACCATTCAGAAGCAGATTGCCAGGCATGTCTTCCAAGCATCTCTGGGTGGGTTCAAACTGCCAACCTTTCAGCTAGTAGTTGAGCAGTTAGCCGCTTGCACATCCAGGGATACTTAGATACTAGCGACGGCTGTCTTTGGTTGACAGTATTATAAGTGACTGACTTCCTTCTTCAGGCTGATTTTTTAATTTATCTGCAGTGAAGAGCCCTTACTTGGGTAGTCAAGAAAAAATTATCTTTAAAATCCAAAACAAAAAAGCATTTCCAATCACTTTGTTTGGGCAAGGGTATGCAGCCTGTGTCAGGGGACACAGAGGACCCAGGTGGTCATCCAGACTGCCAGGAGATGGGTGGTCCAGAGCCCTGGAGTTCTGTTCTGAGTCCTTCCTGTGTGACCTTGGGCCACTCACTGAACTTCTCTGGGCTTCAGTGACCTTGATCTGCTAAGGGGGAGGGGGAGAGTCCTTTCATCTCACCTTGCCTTCCCCACAAGGTAGCCAGGTGGATCCAGAAGCTTGGTGAGAAGGGCCTTTGAAACCAGTGAGGGTGGCCAGCGAGGGACCATGGAGGGAAATCCTGAGAAGGGAGGAGTCCTCTTCCTCCTGCAGAACACTGTGCCAGCTGACAGTGTGGTGACAGAGTGGGTCCTGCATTCAAATCCAGCTCCACATCACTTCCTTACCACGTGCCCCAGTTCCACGAACTCCAAATAGCACATAGCCCCTAGAGTTGTTGTGATGACATGAAAAACACAACACATGGGAAGTGGTGATGCAATGGTTTTCCAGGATCACTTGTTTCAGAATCAGGCTACCTGGGGCAGGCCAGTGACACATGGCCTTGCACTGTCTTCTGGGTCTCCTTGTCCAATGCTGACCCCTAGTGGTGAGAGCTGCCCCTGCCCTGCTTGAGGAAGGACATTGCCCAGGCCCAGACAGCTGCAGGGACCCCTCCTGGAGACTTCCTGCCCTTAGTGTTGGCAGTCATGGTGACCGTGCTGCACACTGCAGCCTGGAGAGAAAACCTTTAAGTTGCAGGTAGGGAAGGGGGTACAGGCTGAGGCTCTTTCCCAAGTTCCCCTACTGCCCTGTTGACAGACACACGTGTCTTCCTGCCTGGGGCTCTGGCTTGGAGCATCCTGAACAGTCCCTGCATCTCTCAGCTAACCTCTGTGTTCGCTCCTGCCACGCCCTGAGACCACCTACTTCAGTTCTGGCCAACAGCACTCAAGTACTTGCTTCCTTCTCTGGAGGCATCACATTCAGACATTCTGCTAGTGTGACTCTTGAGTGAGTGTTTCCCGCTAAGGATGGTGGATTTGATTGGAACATCAGCATAAGCAGTGTCTATCCATTGTCTTCTCTGAGGTAGAGAGAAGGGGCTGGCTTTACCAAGCACTCTGACAGTCCCACTTTTGTTTGCGTGTCACCTGACTGCAGGTCCCCTCTGTTCCCCACCATCTGCAGAACTTCATGACCTAGAAGGCTCAAGGAACCACCTTCTCTGGGCATCATTAGCAGGCCCATCTCCCACCATGGCATTACTGGCCCAGACAGACCAGAGGGGAGGCATCCTCCCTGAAGTATCCCTTGAGTCCTTGGGTTGCAAGCAACAGAAAACAGCTCTGATGAATAGCACAAGAGAGTGTATTGGAAAGAGCACACAGGTACAGTGGGAAGGTAGAGGACCAGGCTTAGAAGCAGGCAGAAAGCAAGGCAGCTGCTGCAGAGACAGGGAAGCCAGGACTCCAGGAGGATCAGCTCAGCACCCCTTTTGTCCTCAGATTAAAAGTGGGATCCAGCACAGCTCTCCAAAATGGCCCATCTTGGGTCACTTGCTTACCCCTTATTCAGCAGTGGCCACTAATGATGGGTAATTGCTTAGGTGACCCTGCTGCCAAGGGGATGGGTGCTGGGTTGGTAAAGTCAGCACCTGCCCTGTCACTGAAGCCATTGGGGCAGCAGGGTGTTAGGAGAAGGGCCTAACCTGTGCCGGGTGAGGGGTGAGCTGGCGCTGGCCAGACTTGGACACCTGAGGAGTGGTGCTTCTGACTCTGCCTGTGCCCAGTTGAAATGAGTCTGGTCCACTGGAGTGAAAGCCAAAAACACTGTAGCTTTGGCGCTCATTTCCTTCCGGGCACTATTTACATAGAAAGGCTCCCTCCTGGTTTCCCAGCTTGACCAGTAAAGACCCTGAAGCTCAGAGTACCAGTTCCCAGGGGATCAACACTGCCTGCTCAGGAGCACTCAGGAAGGTGAGGGCTCAGAGAGGAGCAAGAGCATCAGTGCTCACAGGGAGCTCCCAGCATTCAGTGGCATTTAGTGGTAAATGAAATAGCTAGAGTAGGCAGGTGCAGAGAGACAGAGTAGATTAGTGGTTACCAGGAGCTCAGGAGAGGGGAGGATGGGGAGTGACTGCTTGAAAAAATCTAAATCAATTTTCTAAAATTGCTTTTAGTGGAAGAGGTTAGGCAGAAAACATGCTTTGTAAATGCCATGGGGAGATGATCAAATGCAGCACCAAGCATGTACACATGCATGTGCACACGTACATGTATGCATATGCATGCATGCATATGTGTGTGCACACACAGGCACACATTCTTGTGCTTGCCATTAGACTTCACATGCCTCGTCTGCAACTCACGTCTCTGCTGGAGCTGGGTCTTCAAAGTATGAAGTAGCGAGTGGGCAGGATGGACCATTTGTGAGAGGATGGGCTCTAGAACTCATGGACACAGCTGCACCTCTGGAAGAACTAACCATGGTAACTTCCCAATGGTCAGGGGGTGATTATGTCAAGCTGCCTACCATGATAGAAGGTGTGTCAGTCACTTCCAGACAGGGTGAGATCCCATCTGGAAGAAGAAAACCAGGTGGGGAGAGAAGGGCACTTGTGCATTTCTGGGATCCTGTGTTACATACCTCTTCCTCAAGTTCCAGTGCTGCCTATAAGGCTGCTTGTTTCAGGGGGAGTTTGGGAGTTCCTGAGTTTCTGGTATCTGTAGCAGGGTATGTTTGCAGGAGGGGTGTACTAGTTTCTAGTCCACAAACTGGGTGGCTTATAAGAACAGGAAAGTATTCTCTCATGGTTAATAGAGAACAGAAATTCCAATTCCGAGTGTCGGCAGGGCCATGTTCTCGCAAAGCCTCTAGGGGAAAATCCTTTCTTGTCTCTCTCAGCTTCCGGTGGGCCCAGGCGTTCTTTGGTTTGCAGCTGTGACTTCACATAGCCTTCCCCTACTTGTCTCTCCATGTCTCTTGTCTTTTATAAGGCCACCACTTAGCTTGGATTAAGACCCACCCTATGACTTACAACATCTTCAAAGACTTTGTTTCCAAACAGAGTCACATCCACAAGTACCAGGGCTTAGGAATGCAACATCAGTTTTTGGAAGACACAAGTCAGTCCATAACGGGGAGAGTAAGGGGTTAATTACTGCATGCTGGCAGACCAACCTCAGCTCCCTTTTAACCCCCAGATCCCACGGCAAAAGCAAAGGGTGGGCACCTCCCAAGAGGCTGCTGGGTGAGTGGAGCTAGCACTGAGGGCCAGACTGCAGCTGGGAGGCTGGCTGCTTGGGACTTGGGGGGAAGTAGATGTGGTCATGAGCAAGGTGCAGGAAACAAGAGTTCCCATTATTCGAGCATGCCATGAGCATAAGGGCAATAGCTTAGTCCCTGCTTAACCAGAGAAGTGGCTATTTTTCTTGTAGTAAATCAGCAAAGCTCAGACTCTGTGGTCCACTGCCAACCCGGACATAGCAAAGGTGGAGGTCCACTTCTATTTATTCTGCAGATTCTTGCTGAGTGCTTGTGGAAGTGCCAAGTCTCAAGCCATGTGCCGGGAATTCAGTGGTAGCCAGTCGGTAGCCAGTCACCTCATAGATTAGTCTGCATCATTTGTGCTGGGTGCCATGGAAATTCCACTGGGCTGACAGCCGTGCATCCAGGTTGAGGCCCCGCCTGGATGTTGTACCACCTTGGAGTAACCACTTGACCTCTCTGAGCATATACTCCTTACTGGAGCCAGAAACTCAGAGAATCACATACACTCTACTCATGCCTCAGGGCTATTGCACTGAGCTGTGAGGGTGGTGGAGGTGAAAGTCTTTTCTAAACCAGGCAGAAAAGATTGCCTGGCTTAGAGGGTAGGGCTGACACCCCCCTCCATGGGTTTATTTCTGTTGGGTTGGTAGTGGAAGGGAAGTGATTTTGTACATCGATCGATTGATTGATTATTTATTTATTTTTATTTTTTTTGTGATTTGGGTGAAAGTTTACAGAGCAAATTCATTTTCCATACAGCAATTCATACACATTTTGCTTCATGACATTGACTGCAATTCCCCATAATGTAACAGCTCTCTTCCCACCTCCTCCCTGCAGTTACCTCTCACCTGTGTCCTCTTTCCTATGCATTCCTGCCTTACTCCAAGCTAACTCTCTGTGCAAACACTGCTCTTCTGTTCCTTCCACAATTGATTGATCTGCTCTGAGGAGTGTATCTACCTGGTATAAATGTTCACCTCATATGCCTGTCTGTTGTTTGGCTGGAAGCCACAGGACTGAGTTCAGTTCCAGACCTAAAGGGTAGCTAGGGCCCATAGTCTTAGGGGTCTCATCAGGCTCTATCAGACCAGTAAAACTGGTCTTTTTTTGTGATTTGAGTTTTGTTCCACATTGTTCTCCCACTCTATCCAAGATCTCTTGCACTGATCCCTTTCCATGTGGTTGACAGTGGTAGCAGGGCACCATCTGGTTCTTCTGTTCTCATGGTCATATAGGCTGAGGATCACATGGTCTGCTAGTCCCTTGGCCTAGTTGTTTCCATGCATCTTTAGTTTTCTTCATTCTTCTTTGCTCTGGACGAGGAGAGATCCATCGTTGCATCTAGGTGACTGCTTGCAAGCTTTTAAGACCCCAGTCACTACTCACCAAAGTAGAATGTAGAACAATGTTTTTGTGTAGTATGTTATGCCAATTGAGCTTGATGTCCCCTGTGACCATGTCCTGAGCCCACAGGTCCAACTACTCGTTCCCTCAGGGTAGCTGGCTATGGCTAAGAAATTACAGCTTTGCCCCTTGTTAGCTCTGTTATATATTTGGCCATTCTTAAAGCAAGTACATATGTAGAAATATCATCTGCCAGCCTTATATATGGTTGTGAGTATATTCCTTTTCCCTGGACATACTTGATCATTCAGCCTGTCTACCCATCTGTTTGCCCATAGATTAACGTTTGTAACCACTGACAATGCAATATTGTATATGTAAAATGGTTTATCTTTGTTGTCTGTACGTCTTGTGTACATCTCTGTCTTGTCTTCTTCCTCAGTGCTGCCATGTTGATCACTCCTTTTACTATAGACTACTTTTTTTTAATTGTGGTGAAATATATATAACTGACCACTTCAACCATATTCACATGTACACATCAGTGACAGTTACATTCACTATATTGTGCAGCCATCATGCTGTTTCCAGATTTCCCCAACATCCTTAACAGAAACTCACTGCCCCTGAATCGCTGACTCCCTCCACCCCCCTCCCACCTGCCTCTGGTAACCATAGAGCCAAAAGTTCATCCAAATCGTAGCATGGATCAGTACATTTCTCTTTAAGACTGAATAATACTCCATTGCATGGTTATACCACGTTTATATCCTTATGATTTATATAAACACATCTAGATTAAATTTCACTGACTTCTAGGGTTCCCATGCTGGGGGGAGCCCTGAAGGCCACTTGGTCCAGGCTTTTCATTGCACAGATGGGGAAAGTGAGGCTCAGAGAAGGCAGTGACTTGCCTAAGATAACACAGCTAGTCTGTGGGATGAGAACGTATCAGGCTTCAGGCTGAGGATCACCCTTTCTCAGCTGGAATCTCTTTCTTAAAACCTCCTACTCTATCTACCAGGAAGAGCCTGGGGGCTTGGGTAAGGTATGGAGCATTTTAGGCTACAAAACACAAAATGCGTTTATGTATTTTTGTTTTTTCTGGGTTTTTGGTTGTGTGGTTTTTTGTTTTGTTTTGTTTTCATTATCTCTGTGCTCATATTTGGGACAAAGCCAGCACTCATAGTGGCTCTGCCATCTGTAGCCACTCCTGGGACATTGGAACTTGCTGGGGCTCTCCATTCAAGAGATCCCTGAGCTGCTCCCTGTCTCCCCTCCATAAGCCCCTGTGCCCTGGCATGAACCTGGAGAGCCATTGGAGAAGCGGAAATTGACCATAATGAAAATAATATGTATTCAACTATTTCCAACTATTTCCCTTTTCTCCCACACAGAATTTATAGTCACTTTTAATAAAGTCCTGTATACTCTGGGGAGAAAACATAGAGCTAAAAAAAATACGAGACATGGAACAGAGCAAGAAAGAGCTGTCTGCTTCTCCCAGGGGTGGTTACCTGCCCTGAGCCAGCTCCAGACTTGGGCCTCTGGGTGTCCCACATGTTCTCGTTGTGTGGACCCTAAGGCCCAAGTTCAAGATGATCTGCTTTGTCTCCAGCCTGTGTTCAAAGAAGAGTCAGTCATGTGGGTTTTAGATAGAGGGGCCCATTGCCTTGATTTAGGTTCTTCAGAAGGTGCAGATGGTTTTTCTTAGGCTGAACATTGGTGAAGGGGGGGGTCATAGGTTGAATTTGGAAGAAGTTGAAGGAATGAAAGCCAAAGCGCCATAAGCTTACGATGTCATTGAGTCAAGATTAGGCTTTGGAGAACTTGACGAATGGGCGACCAGTGTGTTCTTGGACCCCCTTTTCTCTCCAGTATTACTAGTCTCACTTTGCTCTTAGCAGGAACTGAAGAGGGACCCACAGTGAGCTCTCCAGTGAGGACCTGAAGTGCAGGTGCTCAGCTTGTTGGTTGGCAGAGATGTGAACATGGGTGCTGGCAGTGCTGGGGATACCCTGGTACAGAGGTTATGACTCAAGACTTTGGGTCAGTGATGGTGGACAGTAGCAGAGCACCAGGCAAAGACGTCCCTTGATCATATCTTCTTTTTGTCTCCTGGCTCTCTCCACAGGCCAAGCAGTCCCTGGCTACGCTGACCAAGGACGTCCCTAAGCGGCATTCACTTGCCATGCCGGGTGAGACGGTGCTCAACGGCAACCAGGAGTGGGTGGTGCAGGCAGACCTCCCGCTGACCGCAGCCATCCGGCAGAGCCAGCAGACGCTCTACCACTCACATCCCCCTCACCCTGCTGACCGGCAAGGTGAGTGCTGCCCCAGCCCAGCCTGGGGCTGCTTTAGAGGGAAGCCCAGACATGACTTCTTTAAGAAGCTTTTGGCTTTAGCATGAGCTTTTGACTTATGGAACTGAAAAGTCTGAGATGAACCTCAGACATAGTGGGACCCTGAAGTTTTCTCTCTCTCTCTCCTCCTCCCCCTCCATTTCTCTGCCTTCCTCCTTTTGACCTCATCTTAGTCTTGTCTCCTTTCATTGTTGTTGTTGTTATGTGCCGTCAAGTCAAACCCGACTCATAGCGACCCCTCCTTGGGTTTCCGAGGCAGTATCACTACGGAAGTAGGATTGCCCAACCTTCCTTCCGAGGAGTGGCTGGTGGGTTTGAACCGCCAGCCATCTGGTTAGCAGGCAAGTGTCTTAGCCACTATGCTACCAGAGCTCCTTTCATGGCACAGTAAAATAATCCCCTGCAGTTTCAGGCTTTTAAGGAGCTCTAGTAGCATAGTGCCTAAGGCACTTGACTGCTAACCAGAAGGCTGGCAGTTCAAACCCACCAGCCACTCCTCGGAAGGAAGGTTGAGCAATCTACTTCCGTAGTATACTGCCTCGGAAGCCCAAGGAGGGGTCGCCATGAGTCAGGGCAGACTTGACGGCACATCACAACAACAACAACGTATCTAAAAAGTCTTGAGGAAGAAAAACTCTCTCTTCCCCCTCTGTCCATATCAAATCCCAGAGAAAAACTCTGATTGGACCTGCTTGTGTCATATGTCTACACCCAAGCCAATCAGTGTGACTAGGGAGTGAGTACTCTGATTGGCCACCCTGTGTCACATAGGCTTCTTTGGCAGGGGAGGCAACAGAGCTCTTTGATTGACAGCACCATCAATCAAAGGGCATGAGATAAATGTCCAGGCACAGATGTAAATGTCCCGCGTGTTTGTTCTCATGCTATGGGGGATCCAGCCTCCAAGCAGCATCTGTCCCTGCTGCCCGTGCTATAAGCCCCAAGCCCCTTGCTGTCCCAGTGTACATCTGCAGCCTGCCTGGCTTCGTCCACTGCTCCTGTTGTAAGTGGCTGCCTTTGTGTGACAGGTGCAGATGGGGGACAGGCATCTGGCAGCAGCCAACTTACCAGGGTTCCTTACCCTGATGGACCTTCCGCACCACCATCTTCAGTCACTGTAGAGGCTATGAGCAGAGCCAGCCTTGGAGCCAGGAAGTCAGTGGGGCTGTCTGCATTATACTCACTGAGGAGATAAGTCAGACATGGTCCTGAAAGTTGCCACAGGCTGGTTAGGGTCCTGCTAAGGGCTCAGGTAGGAGCCAGGGAGCACAGGTTCTGAATTCATATTTCTCGAGTTGAAATCCTGGCCCCATGGCATACTAGAGGCTTGACCTTGGCAAGGGTCCTCAGTTACCTCACTTGTGAAATGGAAGTTGGATTCTAAGCACATTGCCTACATCAGATGTGTGTTTGCTGAGACCTCTAACTACCTCATGGGGTTGCTGTGAACATCAAATTTGTATAATTTCTAATATGGGCCCACACATGCTAAGTTCCAGGTAAATATTAGCTGCTGTTCTCATCCTCGACATCCTCATCATCCTAATACAATAACTCCTGCTTCAGAGTAAGCAGAGAAGCCTTCTTGGAAGTGGCAGTGTTGGAAATAGGCCTTCAGGGCTGGGTAGAGAGTAGAGCTAGGAGGAGGAAGATTCTAGGGAGAAAAGACCAGTGCTGGAGCTGGGCTGATGGAAGCTGAGGTCAAGGGGTGGCTGCTTCTTCCCACCTGGTGGGGTTGCCAGCCCCAAGGGACTCCTGGCCCCTTGTTGTACCTGACTGTGGTACTGCCTTGAGCAGACCAGAGTGCAGCCCTGAGCCCTCCCTTCCTGTAGAAGGAAGATGGTGGCCCTCCCCTCACTGTCACACCCAAGGAGACAACATTTTGTGGGGTGCAGGTAAGGAGGGGTGTTCTGGCCTTTGTGGCCTAGACTACAAACTGGAAGATCTCATAATAAAGCCCCCTTGTCAGATTGGGAAACTGAGGTCCAGAGAGACGTGACTTTATCAGAGTCCCACAGTCCAGCGATGCAGCTCTCCTGGCTCCTGGTCCAGCTTCAGGGTGGACTAATTTAGAACAGGGGAGCAGAAGTGTCTTGCAAAGGTGGTTCAGAGGTGGTTTCTGAATCGCATGACGGGGAAAGACCCCTTGCCATCTGTGTCTGAGGCTGCGGGGCCCCTTCTCAATGGAGCTGACCTGCTTAGGACAGTCAGGACAGGCCGAAGGATCTGCCTTCTGGGCTTTTTCACCCTCCTCCCCAGCATCTACTGCCCCTAAGTCCAGCTCCATGCTTTGTATCAGACACCATCTCTTCCAGGAAGCCTTCCTTGTTCTTTCTGCAGCTCTGTTCTCTGCTTCCATAAAACCAGGTACTCACCTAGACCAGAGCACTTAGCACCCTTCCTCATCATCTCTGCTGATGTATTTGTCATGTAACTCCTAGCACGGTCCAGTACCAGGTGCTGTGCTAGGCACTTTATACACACCTGTTTAGTCCTCACAGCTGTGTGATTGGTACCAGTGTCCCCATTTCATGAATAACAGAATAGGCTCAGAGGGGTTGGGGAAGTTGTCTGAAGTCACACAGCCTGTTAGTGAACTCACCTCAATTGGAACCGAAGTTCCTGACTCCAAAGCCAGTGCTCCCTCAGCCACCCCACTACCCTATTAGACCACAGACTCATTGGCTGCCAGAACCAAGCTTTTTCAAGGATGTGACCCTACCTATTCATATGCCGCCTGCAGACAGGAGAGCAACCTACTGGGGGACTTGGGAGGACGTCCAGGCTATGGATTCCGAACTGGGCCTTTCATTCATTGACCATTTATTGAACACCTACTACATGCTGGGCTTTGTGAGTTCTGGGGCTACAACATGGACCAGACACCCAGAGTGCCTGCCCTCGTGAACCTGGTGTTATAGGTGTGCAGACAGATAATACCCATGTAAACACACAAACAAAGAGAATGATTACAGATTGTGATTAATGCAGAGAAAGAAATGGACAAAAATTAAGAGCTTTTATAGGAAAAAATAATACCAGAATGAGGAGAGCCATGATTGGGGAGCCTCTCTCAGTCTAGTTAAGGCTTTATTATGTATTGAATTGTGTCTGCCAAAAATCTATCTTGTCAATCATGTACTTATAGATGCAATCTCATTTGGAAATAGGGTTCTTTGTTAATGAGCCCCTATCAGTATAGGGTGTGCCTTTAGTCAGTCTTTTTTTTTTTTTTAATTGTGATTTGGGTGAAAGTTTACAGAGCAAATTGGTTTTCCATTCAATAATTCATACATATTTTGTTTTATGACATTGATTGTAATCCCCACGTTGTAAAAGCACTCTTTGCGCTTCCTCTCTGTGTTTACCATCTCTTTCGTCCTTCTTCCCTATCCCTTCCTGCCTTCTGAGCTTTATCCCTGGGAAGCCAATCACTTTTGAGATACAGGCACAGAGACATGGGGAAAAGAGAGATGCCACATGGAGACTGGCAAGGAACCAAGGAGCACCGAGGTGACAGAAGCTGAGGCCAGATCTTCCCCCAGAGTGGACCCAGAGTCTTCCCCTAGAGCCACTGCCTTGCATTCAGACTTCTAGCCTCCTCAACTGTGAGGCAATACATTCTGTTCATTAAAGCCATGCACTTGGGGTATTTCTATTACAGCAGCACTAGAGAACTGAGACAGGCTTGCAGGGGGGAATGAGCCTGATAGGCAGCAGGCCCAGCCAAGGGCTGAGAAGGAGAGAGGTAGCATGTGTCAGGTACTGTTAGAGGCTGGTGTGACTCTAGCACGGTGACAAGGGATAGGGCTGATGTGGTGGTAGGGCGTGTCATATACAGGCATGGAGGCCAGATGAAGAGTATGTCTCTTTTATCCCCAGAGAGGTAAGTTACCTATTGCTCTGCTGCAGTGTGAAGAATGGGTTGGAGAGGGCTAGAGGGGAGGCAGGAGGTCGGAGGTTGCCATTGTCTTCCAGGTGAGAGACATTGGTGGCCTGGACTCAGGTGGTGGCATTGGGATTGGAGACACGAAGACAGACTTGGGGCTGTGTTTAGGGGGTGCTGCTGGTGATTGAATATGGGTGTGAGGGAGAAAGAGGAGTCAGTGGTGGCCTCTAAGCTTCTAGCTGGAGAAGTTGGTCTTGACCAGTTGGTTAGGATAGCACCAGGTCTAGAGAACATCCCAGGTGAGTGAGCAGTTGTGAATAAAGTTGCAGAGCTCTCTGGAAACTCCTGCATCTTCTCCTTCACCCTGGTTAGGAGAGGGCGTATAGGTAAAGAGACATTTCCAGAGGATATGAGGTCTTTACAGCAACTGCTCTATGATGACGTGTGGGGCTATGGAATAGAAGGGCTGAGAGCTAGGCACGTCCCTTCCCTTCTCTGTGTCTGTGAGTTCCCACTGGTGAGTGGATGTATCAGGCAGGGTCACCTGCAGGGCAGTGAAGTAAAGATGAGCACATTCCCTCTGCCCCTCACTTACCAGCTGTCTCTGCTTTGCAGCGGTCAGGGTGAGCCCCTGCCACTCCCGGCAGCCCTCTGTCATCTCCGACGCATCTGCTGCTGAAGGCGACCGGTCATCCACACCAAGTGACATCAACTCCCCAAGACACCGGACACACTCCCTCTGCAACGTAAGGCCAGCAGCCGCAGGGCCAGCCCAGAGCCCTGCCCGGAATCTGCAGGGGGCAGGGTGGAGGGGTAAAGACGTATTCGCTGTTTCCTCTCGCCCACCCAGGGAGCACTCTGGCAAATGCATTTCCTGTTCTGTTCTTTCCTTTTGCAAGAAGCGATGGATGTGGGGACAGAAAGAAATGAGGCCCATATGTTCCCTGTGTCCAGAAGGGCAAGGAAAATCCAGAGACCCCTTATCTGAAAGGAAGGCAGGCCTGAATTGGCTGCGGGGTCTGTGCAGCTCACGCTTCTGCCTCTGGTGGACGATGTGTGCGACAGTGGGCTTCTCCTCCCAAAGGTTACTCTTGTGAACTCAGGGGGCTATACCAGCATCACCTCATTCCCCTTCAGGGCCATCTGTCAGTTCTTTGTGTAGGAATGGAGCAGAACAAGATAGCTACCTGTAGATGAGTTCTGTTCGCAAACCTGAAGATGGGACTAAAGGCTAAGCTACTATTTAGCTCATACCTTCCCTCAGCCATCTTCATCCCCCATCTTAACAGGTATGCATACAAGTAAGCAAGACGAACTTGAAAATAACACCAGGTCACTCTCTGTTGATCTGATACAGCAAGAACAGCCTGACTGAGGCTAAGGGCTCCCTATCCTCTTATGCTCTGGCCACTAATTTAGAACAGAGGTGGGGACTTAGCACAGAGAGGTTGGAGAAGGTGGGTGGACATTGGCCCAAGTAACACACACTTTGCTTCTTTATAGCATAATGCCTGCAATTCCAGTAAGCAACCATCAGGGTTGCTTAGTAATGAAATAGAATGATTTTCTTTTTTTTTTTCTTCCCCAGTAGTTTTGGCATTCTTGAGAAGTGTCCCATGAATTTGTTCTAAGTGTGTTAAATGGTCCTTACCTGCATTTACTTTGCTTATTTGATTACATACTGGACACCAGCCACCAAGAGGCACAAATGACATAACTCTTGGTGACGGGTGGGGCAGACAGATGGGCTCCCAAGGAGTGCAGGGGATGAATGAAGGTGGGTGAAGCATCAGAGGATGGTAGGAAGCCATATTGAGACTCTAACATGAAATATTGAGGTCAGGGTATAGGACCACTCTTTTTTTGTTCCAGCTCACTCATACACTGAAGACAAAGACAGTAGGGTTAGGATTTCAAATGCGAGGGAAGGTTTTTTCAAAAAAAAAAAGAAAAAGAAAAAACCTCAGTTAATGTTGCTTTATTAACCAGTGAAATAAAATAATGAAAAAGAAACCAGGTGAACACATTGGGAAAAAGACAAAATAATCATTATTTGCCGATGATACAGTTGTCCACCTGTAAGAGAATAGCCTGAAATGCTATTAGAACTAATAATAAGCAAGCACAGAACAGTGCTGGTTGAAAATCAATGTAATAAAATCAATAACTTTCCTATGTACAAGTAATAATAGTGGAGACATTTTCAACCCACAATAAATAACAATGGAAAAACTTATGAAAATCACCATGACTAAACTAAAAGAAGTTGCATCAGGATGGGGGGAAGGTCACCTGCAGAAGAATCTTGCTCGAGGCTGCCTGGGATCCTTCTTAACTGGTGCATTAGGGAAGCAGTGTATTCTCCTCTTGTCCCCAGGAGGGGACATGAGTCACAAAGGTTGTCTTGATTGACAGGCCCAGCATGAGGAAGGTGGGCCACTAGAAGTGCTGCTAGCATCCTCTCTGGTTCTGAGGGACTGATGTTAAGTTACACCTGCAGCCAGCAGTGCCCTTCATTCTACAGTGCAGGGTAGAGAGGCTGAAATGCAGGCCAGACACCCTGTAGTACCCATGCATGTCCCAGATAAGAATGCCTTCCCAGGGACCGTGCTTTGTCCTCTCGTGGTAAGCTCTGACAGCCAAAATACTGCTGGAAAATCTGTTCTGCAGAAAGGGTTCTCTGAATTGCATTTGACTCAGGCCTAACCTTTTGCCCAACTTGGCCTTGGCACTTAACCTCCTGCTAGAGGTGTCAGGTCTAGCATATTTATTTCCAAATTCACCTTACAAGGGCCCCTGCTGCCAGGAAATAGGTGCTTTGATGAGCCTGTTGTCTGCACACAGGCATTTTAGCGGGCACTGGCCTCTCTCTTCCCCATAAATTTGGCACAGATGGTCCTACCCAGAGTAGAATATCTTAGCTGTCTGTAGAATGAGTTCTGTTTGCAAGCCTTGAGATGGGAGTAAAGACTAAACTGCCATTTTTCATGTCCATTCTCTCAGCCCTCCTCATCCCCCATCCCGGCACGGGTAAGCCAGGAAGGTAACCCTCATTTTCAGGCACTTGACCTGGCACCAAGAACAGCCTGGGCTAGGCTAAGGACCGCCCCATCCTTTTGTGTTCTGGCCAGTAATGTAGAGCGGAGGTGAGAACTCAGAGCAGAGAGGTTGGAGAAGGTGGGTGGATGTTGACTCAACTGGCACACACCTTGTTTCTTCATGGCATTATGCCTGTAATTTCAGTAAACAACCACCAGGGGTGCCCTAGTAATGACTTTTGTGGTTACAATGAACTAGCTGCTCAAGGTGGGGCAGACTGATTCCTAGATATAGTGAAGGCTTTTTCACACCCACAGACTGCAGAGTGTCCCAGAAAGAACACTGGACCAGAAGGAATCAGCCAGCCTTGAGTTCAAGCTCTGGCTTGGCTCTGATCTGTTCCATGATACTGGACAGTCTGGAGCCTCTTTTCATCTCTAAATGAGGCTAACGAGCTCTGCTTTCCCCTCCGCAAAAATAAAGGTTTCCTTGCATTGGTTGTAGGGGATCCTAGAGGCTGTGTGGCCTATTGGGTTCAGTTCTGTCCTGGAATTCTTTACCATCTTAGTGTGGTTTTTTAATAAAATTACATTTCTTCATGAAAAGCGCCAAACATAACCAACCTCCAGTTACTAACATGATGGACTAATTGAGACAGGATCTTAGAAGCCTTTAAATGGCTGATGTGCTGGTGAGAGGGTGTTGGACCTTGAGGGGTCAGACCAGAGCAGGGTCCCCAGGGCCTCTGGCCAGGACCTCTAGTTCAGGCAGCATCTCAGTCAACCCCAGGCCCCATCGCTGAGCTACCTGGAAGTGTCTGCTTTAGGAGATGGGAGATGGGTTCTCCACTAAAGAGGCCGAGTAGCCCCTGAGGGACATATTCCTTCCATGGAACGCCCATACCCCCACAGGCCACCTCTGTAGTCAGGCATCTTATGTTTCTGCTGTTTCATTGTCCTCTTCCTTTGGCTGCAGGGCGACAGTCCAGGCCCAGTTCAGAAGAACCTGCACAACCCCATTGTACAGGTAGGTGTGCCCTCACCCTACCCCGCTTCATCATGATGCCCTCCCTTGTTCCCTGGGCCCCTGGTCATCCCAACCTGCATACTCAGTTCCCCAAGGCACAGAGAAGGGAAGCCACTAAATGAGTCATGTGTAGGCTGCTGCCTGAGCCACACTCAGAACTTGGGTCTGTCTCTTCCGTGTCCTCTTCTAGACCCCTATCAACAGCCCTGTAGACCTACTAAGTGCACCACATCCTTAATCTGGTGCATGTCTTCTCCTGGCAGCGACATTTTTAAATTATGATTATTTAAAGGCTGATCCAGGTGGTGGATTCTTGGGGCTTCCAACTGCTCGAAGTTTTTATGTATCTTCAGCACTTTGCTATTCTACCATCAGAGTGAAGGGGCTGCTGGGAAGACAATTTGGTGACCAGAAGGGGCCTCTAAGATCATGTCGCTAGTCCTGAGGTCCCCAAATGCCGGTGTGTGTGCTGCCCGTCCTCATCACAGTCAGCTAGAGAAGATTCCTGGGCCCTTCACCCTGGAGATTCTGATCCACTGGTTCTGGGACAGGGCCTGGAGCTCAGATAACACTGAGTTTGGGAAACCATTCATCTAGTCTGACCCCCACCTTTGTTTGTTTAATACCACCTCGTGTCTTTGTATAAAGCACTTGACAGTATGTAAAAGCACTCCTGCAAACACCACCCCACAATCCCTAAGCTATGGCCTGACAGGAGGGCAAAGCAGATACCATCATCATCATTGTTGTTACCCCCATTTCACAGGCAAGCAAACTGGGGTTCAGAGAATCTGGGGAACTCTCCAAGATCCCACAGGTAGTGACATAACCAGCACTAGAGCCCCAGCCCCAGCCCCAGCCCCCTGCTCAACAGTGTCCAGCATCTTTCCAAAGTCCTTGCTCTTGGCTGAAAGAGCTTGGGTTTCCTCTGTCATTGGCCAGACTCTCTTAGACCTTCTTTTCCATGGTCACAGGGAACTTGTACACTTACTGCCACTGCAGACAGGGCTGTGGCTGCCCCTCCATCCCGTGGTCTTCTCCCATCACGGGCATGATTACAGGCACGGCGGAGTATTGAATGGACAGAATTGAAATTACATTTCAATAATAATACAAACAACAACCTCGGCTAATATCTTACCGTTGTTTGCTGCTGTCAAGGCAGTCCCTGACTCATGACGGCCCCAGGCACAACGGAATGAAACACTGCCTGGTCCTGCGCCACCCCCGTGATCAGCTGCAGTTCAGATAGTTGTGATCCACTGGTTTTTCACTGGCTGATTTTCAGAAGTAGATTGCCAGACCTTTCTTCCTGGTTTGTCTTAGTCCTGAGTGCTTATGATATGCCAGGCACTGCTCGATGCAGTTTTAGCCTCCCTGGATGGCATAAACGGTTAAGCACTCGGCTGCTAACAAAAACGTTTGTAGTTTGAGCCCACCCAGAGGCCTCTCGGAAGAAAGTCCTGGTGATCTACTTCCAAAAACTCAGCCATTGAGAACCCTGGGGAGCACAGTTCCCTCTGACTCACATGGGGTCGCCGTGAGTCAGAATTGACTCAGTGGCAGCTGGTTTGGGTTTTTTGTTTGTTCAGTGACATCTCATATCAGGTTTAGGTAGAATTTATTGTTGTCCCAGAGAGGTTCTGTCCCTGGCCCAAGTTCCCCCGGTGGGTAAGGGGCAGACCCTGGTGTTCTTAACTACCCGTGGCCCCATCCCTGCACCATAGCTTCACGCTGAGAGGCCGTCCCTCCCCTGCACCCTGCACTCTGCTCGCTGTCTCTGCCCACAGCTAAGGTCTCTGTCCTTCTCTTCCCTCTCCCGGTGCCACTGTGCTCCTGCCTCCTCAGTCACTAGAGGACCTTGAAGACCAAAAACGGAAAAAGAAAAAAGAGAAGATGGGGTTCGGCTCCATCTCCCGTGTCTTTGCCAGAGGGAAGCAGCGGAAGTCCCTCGACCCCGGCCTCTTTGATGGTACCACCCCTGATTATTACATAGAGGAGGACGCAGACTGGTGATACCCGCCTCCCTGCGCCTGCTGCCCGGCAGGCGTGTCTGTGCGCGTGAGCGTGCGTGTGTGCGTGGGGCTGCGTGTCTGGGGGTGCTCGGGGGCACATGCAGGGGTGTGCTCCTGCACACATGGGTGCTGGGTGTAGCTGGGCGCCTCCAACAAGTGAAAACCCAAGTGTGGACCCCCTCCTCTGCGTCGCCACCTCTGTAATTGATGTACATACTACAAACCATGTGTGAACATGTCAACTCTTTGTTGTCTTTGGAGCGATACAGTTGTATTGTTAATCCGGTTTTTGTTTTGTTTGGTTTTGGTTTTCAATGTTTTTTTTTTTCTTTCTGTTTGGTTTGTTGGGTTTTGTTTTGTTTTGTTTTTTCTTCTCCCTTCCCCTCCTCCTTTTTATGAAACTTGAAAACTTGAAGGACTGCTGTGTATTTGTAAATAACAAACTAATGTGGACTCTGTGCTTATAAATGTCCCTGGTCCGGACCCCGATTGCTGGAGCCCATCTCGCCGACGATGTGGTCTGTTTGTGATGTGCCCCCCTCCTCCCAACCCCCCTCCCCCCCAGTGTGAATGTGTGAGACCAGATCCTATTTTCGAGGTGTGCCCAAGTCACTTTTGCCACAAAACACCGTTACCAGGGTAAGGTCTGCTCTCTGCTAAGACCCACAAGCCTGGCCAAGGGGCCTTGTCTTGGCTGGGTTTTGCAAAAGGTCCAGCGGGCTCTTTGGAACGGCCTGCCAGTTTTTGAGTTGTGTTGCTGTTTCTTTCCGTCTTTCTTTAAGGAAAAAGGAAAATTGTTTCAGTTAATTTATTTGCACAAATGCAGAAACCGTATTCTATCTAAATTATTGCTTAAATATCGGAATGTATATTTTTCCATGGGGTGGGCGGGAGGTGGGTGTCTCTGTCGATGTGTCTGTTCTATTATCATGCTGCTGCCAAACTGTGCAAGGTAGGGTTTAGGGTGGCCAGAACCCAGGGACCATTGGATTTCCGAGCTTGCCTTTTTCTGTTCCTTCTCTCTTCACCCCCATTCCCTGGCCCTGCATGAAAGTGCTGTCCACCTTCGGCCCACTCACAGCTCACCCCTGGGCCTTTATGTACTTACTGATCCAAAATGCAGAGCACTGACCTCATGAGCAGAGCAATGACTACAGGGGTCGCCTTCTCTTGGGTCTGTCTTTTGGGAGAGGTTGAATGCAGGGGAGATAGTCAACCACCCAACCATAGGGTATCTATCACTCAGCCTGAGGTGGTCCACAGGGATCCTCCTCAACATTGTGTCTTTCTCATCCCAGTCGATTCTGCACATGATCAGGCAGGTGTCACCAGGCAGGAGGATGCGGGAGGTGCCCATCTCAAGCAAAGGGTCTTGGGGACATAGCATCCAGCACCTGGGCCCTCTGGCCTCTCCATTTCAACTGGCTCTCCTGTGGCACGTAGGATCTCTCAGGGTCCCTGTGGCCCTGTCCTCCATCTAGTTGTGACAGCTTGAGCCCACTCACCCAGGAGAGCAGGGCTCCAGAAACATCTGGTCTCCCTATTTGGGGAGCAGCATTGGCCCCAACGAGTCTTCTTCAAGAGCAAAGGAACTGTGTGCATTTTAATGCTGGGTGATGGGGAAAGTGTGAGCTTCACAGCTGGGTCCTCCCAAGGCCTACAACCCAACTCCCCTTTTCTTTTGACCCAAGAATCTTCCTTCTGCTCCTCCTTAACCACTAACACAGCTCTAGTCACACCACCCTCTAGACAACCGTAGTTATGCTTTCTGCTAACAGTGACATCATTAGCTCTTAAAAAGACACCAGGCGATTAAAACTTGCCGGAGTATCTATCAAGATGGGTAGGATATTTGGTCCAAAGTCTCGAAAACAAACCGAAAAGCCCCAGTCAGCTGCTCTCTTTCCTTCAACCTGATCCAGGGTTGGGGAGAAATAGGTAGGGTACCTAGTCAGGATCTTTCTGTTCCTGTCGCTGAGCTGTTTAACCAAGCCTCGCGGTGAAAGAACGGCCATAGCTGGCATCTCGCTCTTCAGAGATTTTAGAAAATACTTTTTTCCCTCATGAATTTATTTTTTCTTTTGATTGATTTTTTTTTAATTGTTTTTCCTTTACTTCTGAAAATAAGATGGCAACCACTCCTGGTAATGATTTAGTAGTTCCTTTTCATTTCAGTTTTTGTAAAATTAGAAGCTAATTCTAAAAGTTACTAAGGATGATTTATTTAAGAGAACTACGTCAAATAGTGAATGAGTTATGGGTAATACTAGATGAAAATAACCTTTCCCGTGGGAAAGGTTTCTCGAAGGCATGGATGCAAATATAAAATATTAAAAAAAAAAATCTAAATAAAGCTTATTTTAAAATATTACTGAACTCTATCTTATTTGATTGCTTCTATTTGGCTCCGGGTGGGAGGCTGTGCCCGCTGGGAGGCGAAGCCCAGAGCAACCTGCTCCTTGGAATTCCAGGGCCAGGTCTTGAGGGACAAGTGGGAGGGGCTGAGGAAAGCTGTCTGGTATCTGAGCACATGAGGGGTCGAGCCAGGTGGCTCCCAGAAACATCTCCTCTCTGCCACCCTGACTGTAATTTCCAGGTGTTGGCCAGCCTCCAGGGCTGCCCTGTGTTCCTAAGGCACTGCTTCTTGGCCCTGGCAGCCTGCGTGCTCGGAGCTCAGCCAGCCCCGGTCAGCTTTCATCTGCTCCTTTCTCCCCCGTCACTCGTTCCAAAGGCCCAGAATTGGGGCCTGTGACTTTGGGGCATGTTGCTTCCTGAGACCTCACAGGCCTCTGCACCATCCCCAGTTTCTGCCCACCCCTGGGGCTAAGAGGAGCTTTAGAGAGATAGGGCCATGGGGCTTCCTTGACTGAAGCCAGACTGTGGCAGGCTTTTCTAAGCCCAGGGAGACCCTCTAGATACAAAGCCCTAGGTCTCCACCATGAGATGCCACAGGGAGAGCTACCAAAAAAGAGGCTACCCAGTTAACCCCCAACTTAAAAAAAATCCTCCCCAGCAATAAGACTGATGGGAAACTGGCTTATTAATCCCCCAGCCATCTCTGCTGGGAAAAAGCACAAAGTGATGTAATGTATAGACTATACCAGGAAAACATAAAAGGGGGACCTCTGTTTAACAAGGACACAAAGGGATACATGGGATCCTAGAATGTCAAGAAAGCTCAGGGCTGCAAGGAACTGAGCCTTCATCTGTAATTAATTAGTGATGTCTGTCAGGAGGCCTGTGAGAGAAGTTGTGGCATGTGTGTTGGGACACTTGCCCTCTTGGATTAGCCCAGCGTTTCTCAAACTAGCCACACAGTAGAATCACCTGAGGAGCTTTCAGAAAAAAATACTGATGCTCAGGCCGTACTCCCAGAATCAGAGTGTAATGCCTCCTTTGCTAATCCTAATGTGCAGCCAGAGTTAATAGAAGAAGGGTAAACATCCCAACATATATGCCATTGCTCTCCTTGCCCTGGCCTAAGCAGACATCACTAATCAATTAAAGAGCCCTTCTTTTAATCCCAAAGTGGCCTCTGATTTCTTCACTTTACAACAGTTCATACAGCCACTACCTATCAATTAAGAGTTGATATACAAAGATAGGGAGCTCTGGTAGCATAGTGCCTAAGGCACTTGACTGCTAACCAGAAGGCTGGCGGTTCAAACCCACCAGCCACTCCTCGGAAGGAAGATGAGGCAATCTACTTCCGTAGTGATATTGCCTCAGAAACCCAAGGAGGGGTCGCTATGTGTCGGGTCCGACTCTATGGCACATAACAACAACAACAACATACAAAGATAAAGCCTATTTGCTCTCCCAAAACTAACGCAACCCCTCGGGGAGTTATTTGGCCAAGCTTCTCACTAATCTGCTGTCGTCGAGTTAATCCCAACTCATAGCAACCCTTTTGGACAGAGTAGAACTGCCCCATAGAGTTTCTAAGGTTATAATCTTTACAAAAACAGAATGCCACATCTTTTTTCCTCAGAGCAGCTTCTGGGTGCAAACCACTGACCTTTCCATTAGCTTCCAAGTACTTAATCACTGCACCACTGGCTATCACTCCTAAAATCCTGTGACCTCAAGGGCTTACTCAAATCTCTGTAGCTCTATTAAAAAGCCACACCACCTCCTTGTTAACAGAATCTCCTCCAAGACCTTGTCACAAACGGTCCACCTTCTGTTGGTGCCTATTAGTCAAAAATTGGAGCAGGGCTGCCAGAGGCTTCCAGGGCCAGTGTACAGTTGTGTGGGTTGTGTACTGCATTACTCCAGAATGCACTGTCCTCCAGGGTTGTGCAGCATAACCCATGTGACTGTACCTGGTGGCCCTTACATGTTCTCTCCCACCTGTGCTGGCAGGCTCCAACACGTGTAACCTAATATTAGTAACAATAATAATATCTAACAGTTCTTAAGCACTTACCATGGTCCATGCTACTCACAGTACCTGTATTAACTCAGTTAATCCTCCTACAGCCTATGTGATCAAGAAAACTGAAGTGAAGTAATCATCCAGCATCAGAGAGCTAGTAAACAGTAGAGCTGAACTTTGAACCTCTGGGGTCTGGCTGCAGAGTGTGAGCTTTTAGCCACTCCACTGTCTGGGAATGGAGGGGCTAGGCCTGAGCAGATGGTGCCTGCCTACTGCTGGGCATCTGCACCGCTTCATCCAGGCCTGGTGTGAAGGCCCCATCCCTGTCCCTCAGTTGCCACTGCCAATCAGATGAAACTGGCATAGCCTGACACTCCTGTGGTTTTGTGGCTGAGTCTGTTTCCAGCCCCCTTTCCTCCCAGCCACAGAAAGCCCACCTTCAGAGCAGAACCGGTGGGAGGGCAGAGCAGAACCATGCTGAGGTCAAGCATAAGATCTGTATTCTTGGCCCTGCCATTGGACCCCTCACTGTACCAGTGCCCAGCATCCTAGAGGCTAGCTCCAGCCACACATGGAAGG